GCCATATTATCAGTGAGGTGTCAGTATTTTCCGAACGTGACGGGATTTTTGGGTGTGGATCGTGCGATTTCCTGTTTCGCCGGCTGTCGCGGGGAGTTTAGTAGCGCGAGCGCGAGCGCCAGGCGGGCCATCGTCGTGGATGTGGTGCGGCACACGTGTCACGGGGAACCACGGGTGCGTGCAAGCAGAATCAGGTAAGCGCGCTGTCGATGTCGCCGACGTCGCCGTCGCTGTCGCCGTCGCCGTTGCCGATGTCGTCGCGCTAGAAGGCTACATTCGCGATTCCCCGATTCGCTGTCTCTCGCCATCGCGAAGAAAAAAAAGGGAATTCAGAGCTGGAGCGCCGCGGGCGCTCGCGTGCGCGCGCGCGGGTCGTCGCCGATCGTCGCCGGTAACGTCGGTTACCCGGATCGAGACGATCGCGATCGTTCGATCCGTCTTCGATCGCGGCGCGGCGTCCGCGATCTCGAATCACGCGTGATTCAGAAACGCGTGACGGGCAGCCGCCGCAGCCGGGAGTCGGTCAACCGAGGCGACTTCGCGGGGTCGACCTCGTAACGACGCCGCCGTCGCCGCGCCGGTCGCCGTGAAGCCAGGCCGCCTCTTTTACCTCTTTCTTTCACAGTGCACGTTGGAGTTCGGTGCGTGATATATCCCCGGGAACCGGGAAGGTACGAGGAATCGAAGTTGCTTCGCCGGAAAACCGGTTCGATCGTACCGACGTCTCGGTTGAGCTTACTGCGTGTAACTTAATTTTCTTTCTTTCCCGTGCGCCACGTTTTACCGACGTCGATTCGGCCTCGCCTCGTCTCGCCTCACCTCGTGATTTAGCCGATTCTTCATTCTTCGTAGATCATATATTTGTACGTATAATAAGTATCCACTGATATTTAATCGATGAATAATCAACAGTGATGCACGCTCTTGATTATTTTACTTGTAAAAGGACGAAAAATTATTAATGTCCATTTCTACCACCACTGTAAATTGATTTTAATCCCAGTTTATTTTTTATCTTTTTCTAGTTTTAAGAATTAGAAAAAGATAAGAAGTAAGTTAAACCGAGATTAAAATTAATTGGAATCTACATTGGTGGAAATGGACATAAATCAGACGTCGTGACGAAATTCGCTCGGTTAGCAAGCCACGACTACGTTTCTTCTTCCATATCGAAGAAAGCACGATTGAAGAAATAGAAAATTGCAAATTGATCGTACAAAACAATTGTTGATAAGCGTCTAACTATATTTCTGTTTGCTGTATTAAAAATTAGGGGACTAGGAATGTGAAGTAATTTATGAAGGTATAGAATGATAAATTGATTAATCGACCAACTAATCCGGTTGCACCCGCATATTTTCCTTTTCCGTCTATAGGGTGTCTCAAACTCGCCAGCGCAGTTACATTTGAAATAAATATTTTGATGTGTTCGGGCGTAAATATTTTGACAAATTTCCGCGAACTGTTTAGAATGGCAAATCGACATCAACGAGTATATATTCTTCAATTAATCTCGAGCTAACTATATAACGAAACTTCCGTTTCGATGTTATTGTTAAAAATCCAAATATTTAATAGAATTAAAATTTGATTAAAATCCCAAGCGGTGAAACTTTCAGTTTCAATCTTAGATTAGAAATCTAAATTACGTATTGGCAAACGAACTTGATTTTAAGTATCCCAGTTTTCGCTAAGAAGTTTCTCTAAGAGACCCGTTAAGGTAACTCGCGTGAGCGACACCCTGTATAAAACACCTGAAGCTACGGATTTAGAAAGGAATCGCGGTTGACAACTCGACGAACGCGTCGAATCGCGTTCTCCACTTTCGTTGCCCCTCTGGTCGAGAGTTATGCGCGTTACGACGCGAAGGGAAGGGGACGGGAAGCCGGTGTCGTGTGTTCTGTTCGGCGGCGGCTGTGTCGGTTCGAGATTCCCATCCATCCCGGATACGGGACCTAGACGGGACCCCATCTCGTCATGTGCCCGCGACACGGCTTCATCACCTCTCTCGCTGAAGCGTACAGAGGTTATCCCTGCACGACGGTGTACCCTCCCCTCGCGCACGCTCGCTCGCGCGCCCCGCGGCGCCTTTCTCGTTGAGAAATCCTTGGACGTTCATTCCCGTCACACGTGTAGCGTTTCAACGTGGCCGCCGCGCCGCCGCCGTCGCCGCTCATCTCGCGTTCACGCCTATCGCGATCGTCACGAATAATACGGTTCAGTGTCGGAGAGAAGACCCGAGCGGAATACGAAATACCGTGTCGAAGTACGCTTCCTGCACGGAGATAATTAATTTGGCACGCCGATATAAATTGAAAACTTTATTAACGCCGAGCTTTCTTCACGTGTGCAAAGATATTCTTCATATAGATATTTTCTGTACGCAAAATATTTATAATATTTATCTGCATTTTTTATCAGTCTTTTCGACAGATGACATACACTGTTAAATTCATAGTCAATCCAGTTTTGAAACTATTGTATACTATTTGATCCAAAAGTTTTCTTCTTTTGATCATAATGATCGTTTAAATAGGAACTCTTATTTAAATGATTATTATGCTTAAAAGAAGAAAACTTTTGGATCGAATAGTATACTATAGTTGCAATACCAAATTATAAGCCACTGTGTAAACGTAGTCAGTGTCAAATTATATTTAATTTCAGTCACTTTTAACCATTCCTATAAGTCGCCACTGTGTCGATATATGTCGTTACTTTAATTAAAACAATGTTAATTTAACTAAACCAATTGAGTTAAAATAATACTGTTTTTTTTTGTTAAAATAATAAATTTTGACACACATGATAAAGATAAAAAATGTTATTTAACTCAAGATATTGATTTAAATTTTATCTTTTAATATTTTAACAGTAAGTTGATGTACGCGCAATCATTTTGGGATGTTAATTAGTTACGTGAAATTCCTTCCGATTATACTTGTAAAAATAAAAGAATCGAACGTGTTAATGAATATTATGAATTATATGTCTTTCGTCGAAGGTATCTATCAAGCTGACAGTTTTGAATTGATGTCTTTAGATCGTCATACATGTTCATATTTATTGGTCCGCAGTGTCAGTGCGCGTTTCGACCTTGTGTAATATATTTTCGTGGTGATGTCATCCGTTATTTTATGGTTCTGTGGCGGAATTGAATCATCGCGGTCCTCTTTCTCTCTTTTTCTCTCTTTCATACGGATAGGATAGTTTATCGTTCTCGGACACACAGAATCGACAGAGATTATCGTGGTAGACCGTGCGGCTTCCTTCCGCACAACTGTTGATATTTCAGTCACTGTCAATCTTAAATCATTGCGAGTCGTCGTAAAACATAAACGTTGGAAATCCAGGCGTCCCTGACGGACAATTATTTAAGAACGTGACGCAGTATATTTAAATAATATTTAAATATATATTATAAATATATAAATTATTGTATAATTATATATTAAATATATAATTATGCTTTTTGTTTGCTCATAGAGGAAGCTTTGTTTTTGAGAACATTTTTTTTTCAATGTCAATGTGTTCAGAATGTTTTAAAATGTCGAAAAATACATTTTTAAAGAATGTTCGTATGTACGCGCGCGCGTGTGGTATTAGAAGTATTGTGGTAGCTCTAACTTTCGCAAGTCTAGAGATATCAGACTCATTTTTTTTAATGTAGGGTATTATTAAAGCTAAGTTGTTATTTAATTGAGCGAGAGTCGGTGGAGTTCATTTTTTATAAAATTTTGAATTTTTTGAGAAATCCTTTGCAGAGCGCAGTGATTACTGTAAAAATACATTCTGCGCTGGGCGCAGTAGTACTGTGAAAATGCATTCTGCGCCAAGCGCAGTGATTCCTGTGAAAATGCATTCTGCACTGGGCGCAGTAGTACTGTGAAAATGCATCCTGCGCCGAGCGCAGTGATTCCTGTGAAAATGCATTCTGCGCTGGGCGCAGTAGTACTATGAAAATGCATTCTGCGCTGAGCGCAGTGATTCCTGTAAAAATGCATTCTGCACTGGGCGCAGTAGTACTGTGAAAATGCATCCTGCGCCGAGCGCAGTAGTACTGTAAAAATGCATTCTGCGCTGAGCGCAGTGATTACTGTGAAAATGCATTCTGCGCGGAGCGCAGTGATAAGTGGTAATGTCTAATGCATTCTGCGTTAAACGCAGTATATAATAAAATGTATGCTCAGATCAAATAACAAATAGAAAAACTCAACAGAAAAAATACTCAGCTCAACTACCTGCATTCTGCGCTTAGCGAAGTAAATCTTTTCATAATAGAAAATCGCTGCTAATTGAATGGATATCGGAAGTTAACATGGTAATTTAATAATTTTACAAAACGGCAAGCAGTAGTGTGTCTTACAATGTATACATATCAAGTGCAAATGAAGTGATTGCTAGTCGTATGTGCGCATAAATGCATTTATATCTGTTGGAGTTTGAAATAGCTATTCTTCAATGGATAGATATGATTGCTATATTGTCTTTTGATATATTGTCTATTTTTATAATATAATCTCTAAATTTTTAGTTGGAAAAAAGTGTGCAAATTGGAAACTTGCACATTGTTTTTTCACCATTTTTTTTTGCTAACAAAGATTCCTTTATGAGGAAGCCAATCTATCTTCAGAAGAGCTTCGTGAACGAAAAAAAATTGTGAGGAAGCAATGTGCAAGTTTCTAATTTTTTAATTCGTTATTAGGTATATCATAATGTTAGGCCCTGCATAATAAGGCACAATGAAGCACATATTAGGAATAAAAATAAATATTAAATATTAGGTATCGGAAATAAAAATAATAATTAAACGTAACGTACAATGGAAACGAATAATAGGAATATTTCTACATTTACATATTCTAATATTTAATATTTATTACAGGAATGTTACTATATTTATATAGCCTATTTAATATTTATTCTTATTTGTAATATGTGCTCTATTGTGCACAGAGCCTTACATGCGGTCCGCATAAAATATTCCTACAGTTTTTAAAACTGAAAAAGTTTTAAATCAGGTTCGTATTTTTTGTGGGAATCGGTGAAACTTAATGGCACATTAAATCGTACTTCTAAAAGACGGGAGAATCGAATACAGCACTTTTCTCTGAGGGAACCTCGGTTTCCGGGCTTTGTTCCGCAAAAATCATCGTCGTGCTTCTCTGGGGAAGGAGACCGGATGTTCGTCACGTCGGCTATTAATTACATGTATATTGAATTCGGCGTAAATTATGGTTTAAACGCGGCAATCCGTTACGACAAATCGTCGCGCAAATTTGTTAATTTGTTAATGAAAATCGGCTACTTTTCTCGAAGGTTTCTCCGAATCGTCAAACGGGAATTAATAATTGTGTTAATTTCAGAGATATTTACTTTACATCCTCCTATATTCCGTCGTAGATTACGACAAATTAAAAGTTAATTATAAGGTTAAAAGATCGATGCGATTGACGATCAATAATCAGCGGATTACAGCTTGTCGGTGAACGGCCTCGAAACGGATGATCAGGTTGTTTTAGAGCCGTACGAGGACTCGTATTTTTGTCGCGCATTTAGCGATTGAAACGCCCACGCGATTGTTATCTTACGTCGGTTCCGAACAGCGATCCGAGGCGCGTTACGAGATCTTCGACGCGCCGAGCCATTACATTTCGTATATGATAAATGCTGGTTACAGCTCAGCGCTAAGTGGCGCTAAATGGAGATAAGCGTTTAAATGCCGCGGCGTGATTCCGTATTTTATTTGCCGAATGTCAAGATTGCATCGAATGTAAACACGGGATGATAATTAAACGGTCGGTATCCGGCGTCGGCGATGCCCTAATACCGGCACGATCACCCTGGAATTCGCTTTTATCGCGAGAGTTGCGCAATTTGCGACGAGCGCCAAACATTAGAGATTAATTAAGATATATTGATAACGCAACTTGGTATAGTACAATCGATAGCGTGTTTCTAATGCCCGGCCACGCTCGAGATACGACATAGTGCGTTATACAAATAATCGTTTAATAGACGTAACGCTTGAGCGATTGTGAATCGTATGAGGTCCCACTCTGCTTGGTTTCTTTTCTTTTTTTTTTCATACCGTTTGTATCAGCAAGGTCGAACAGAGTATCATTTCATATCATAGAACTCATATATAAATAGCTGTTATACAATTGTAGCTTATTAAGGTATTTCGTAAGGACGGCTCGTCAATTGTCGCTTAAATAGCGACGAGCTGATACGTTACGCTATCGCATAATAACCTTTATAATAATCATCAAAATGAGTTTTCAATATTTTCATCGAGTTGATAAGGAATACTGATTAGGAGAGAGGATTTCTTTCAATTACTACAATTATTCGCCCATTCGTCGCTTCCGGTTGTCGTTATCGATATATCCCATTCTCTACGTCGTCGGTCTTTCCGCCGACGAGTGCCGAGAAGCGGAAGATAACGGCGGTTCAACGAACGTCTGGACGCTGGGTCGGGTCCTAGATAAAGGGGGAATGCTAGACGACGGGACAGATCGGGCACTCCTCGGCCGCGGCGGATGTCGGTCACGCGGATTTGCATCACAACTCGTTGTCCCCACCCTGCGTTTCCGACGCGCCGACGACGGCCGCTTGTGTGTCGGAGCTTTGAATTTGGCGCTGGAAAGAGCCATCAGACGCTGGATCCTGGATTAAGGGGGAATTACCGAGAGTTTACCGAAAGATAGGAAAAGCTCGCGGGGATTAGAGCAACGAGCAGTAACAGGTAGTTGAATGCCCGTATTGCATATGCGTAACATGCACGCAACGACAGGCTTATGCAACTTCATATGGCTATACCTGCCAATTCTACAAGCGTGATATTATTCATTTGCTTAAAGCGACCAGCGATATCCAGTTTATTTCAAACCAATTTTTCTTTTCTTTTTTTGTTTACTTCTGGAAATCAGACGAATTTTACATTATATATATATATAACTTAAAACGTCGCTGCTAATTAAACTTAACGTCGGTAGTTATAGTGACGTTAAAACTCTTGCGCGAATTGATTACGTTGTCAGTAAAGATTATACTTAGTCTTGTCCTTGGTAAAAAGATGTTTTCGATTTTATAATATAATTTATTTTTTTTCTTCATCTTACTAGTTTTTCTATTTTCTTTTTGTCTTTAATTAATTAATACACGTACCGATATCGACACACGAAACGATTTGAATTGCAAAATGGTCGTTTATATTATATATAAACATACATAAAATTTCATATATAATTATCTCATTAAATTAAGAGATTCGAAGCGAAAGGACAACTTACGCAATCTTTGTATTGCTTACATCAGCGTCGTTATTATATTTTGAACCTTTACTATTATGATTTATATACTTGAAATACTATTATGACGAGTTATTATTATGATTTATATACTTAAAATAGCATGTGACGAACCACGATGTTTGAAAAACAGGTATCGTCGATTACTAGAATCGATGACAAAACGTTCGATGGAATTATCTGTTTTTAATCTCGCGTTGAATGGACTTCGCTTTGAGTTTGATTTAAAGTTTAATTACCGTTGGATACCGTAAGATATGGCGTTTATCTAAAAGTCGTGACGTTAAAAATTAGAAAATTGAAACTATGATCCGTCTTCTAAGAGCTTATCGGTGTCTTGATAACATTCACAATCGACAAAGATTGACGTGCGTCGCTTGTTGAATCGCGTTACCTCACATAAAGTCAACATTCAGTTTTCTTAAGTCTAGTTTACACCTGATTAATTATATGTACGTCTATGTCTGATACTTTGGAATGATCTTTGATACTCTGGAAGCACACGCGATTTACATTTACATCTTACTTAGTATCTCAAGAACGAATCGAGTCCATTGTAATTAAACGACCGATCAAATACTGTAATTATCTACCAACATGTCTGAACATGTCGTGTGACATTAACAAGGTATAAAGAGACGTTCTGAATCACGTTCTAAAAATCACGAGGACTCCGCCGATATACACAAGAAATTAGAATACGAAGAATTTGCAATGCGCCTCGCAAATTTCAGCGTATCACGCATTTTTATTTAAATAAATAGATTTTAATCAGCAATCTTTATATCTGTTTCAGAGGGATAGTTCCGCTGTTTAGTACAAGAAAACAACAGCCACGATGCCGAAGTCGGTATGTATCTCACTTCAGATATTTTAAATCAGTATATCGTCTTATTGGTATTAAACATTTTGGGGATAATCTTAGACGAAGGCAATTTAATAAACTGCGGTTCTGCGGTTGCATCCACAATTAATTTCCGACACAGAGAATAACTTGAGGCACAATTCTCGCTTTAATAATTGATATAAATTGATATTTTGCTGCATGGAAAAGATTAAAAGAAAACGAAGTATACAAAGTGGAAGACATTAACGTCGAGGTACGAGATACCAAGACGAGATATCGGGAAGATATCCGTAATCTGAATGTATTTCCGAGTCGCGATTCGCGATCTGCACACGTTCGCGGAATGCCGTCACATCGACCTAAAAGTTCGCGCGTTCACTTTGCAATAATTTCTGTGCGGGAAGACAGGTATCCGACTTGTTTGCGCAACTTGTCGCAGCCACACATCGCGCGATGCTGGCGACATGTGAACTTCTCGGAAGCTATAATCTAATCGATTCCATGAAATAAGAAAACAAAAATCATAAACTAATTAACAGCATTTTCTGGTATTAAAATTAAGAGATCTGCAGAGAGTGGAGCTGATCAGTCTCGAGAGGTTCCGTTTGCCCATTTGTTTGAGAGCAATCGGCAGAAGTGAGTACGATTACCAATCGTAATTTCGGTTAATTTAATTTTTTGTACGGAAGATAATCGCTCCGAAGATAATCGTAGTTTTTTTTCTCCGTAAATCACGAACGGATACGTCGTACTTGTTGCATCGAAGTCGCGATTAGACCGATCTCGGGTCACCAGATAGACATGTAAGTACTTTGTACTCGAATAAAACGGAAGAAGATATGCATCTTTCCGTTCGATACAGCAGACCGATGAATAATGGATCGGAAACTGCCACATTTCCTTGCCGTGAAGGTGCAGCCGCTTTTAAAGATGTATTTTTTCTTTTTTTTGTCGACATTACGCAAGGTATCTATCGTTATAATCGGCTTTTTAATGAATACTCAGGTGCAAAAAATAAAACCATTATGCATATGCAGACGTGTTGTGACTCGTCTGCCATTCACGACTAAATTTCTTTTTTATGTAACTGCATTATGTAATTCGCGACGCGTACGTACAAAAGACATTTGTTCATCCAAGTCGCGCAGTACGTCTATTTTTTTCAGATTTAAGAAGAAGCTACTTTCTCATTTTATTTTTCGCGCTTCTCGCTCTTTCAAAGTTGTACAGTTGTCAGTACAGTTGTTTGCGCGAAACGAGCGAAGGCATCGTCTATCAAGAGACCGATACTCATTTGCATAAAACCGAAGCGGCCGCGTTGCATAACGCGAAACTGATTTACAGTTCGAGTCAAGGAAAAGACTAAACGCTTAGTTAATTTTAATCATCTTTAAAAATCACGCGCAAAATGGCATCGACGACGGCATCTAATGTCCGTTTTTATCAATGCAGATTATAACTTCAATCTCGAGTTAACTTACTTTTTATCAAATTATTAAATATATTAGACTCATTTTATGCAAAGCAATATGAAAGAATATTGGGCCAACGATACGAGAGATAAGTAAAATATATTATATTACAACTTTATTCATAATTAGAATCGATATAAAGTAGACGTTTCGACTTCATTAAATCTTCTTCAGTACTAAATTAAAATTTATGAAAATAAGAAAGATGACACATTATAAATTAAAACAAAATTAGAACATAATGAACACTAGGATACATTGTACGAATATGAGGTCACAACAAGAGGCTAAAAACTTTTTATCCTTTTCTAAGAACTAGAAAATAGAATAGAAAAACAAACGAAAATTTTCGATTTTTGTGTCCATTTCTACCACAATATAGATTAACTTTAATCTCGGTTTAACTCCCTTTTTTTATCTTTTTCTAGTTCTAAGAATTAGGAAAAGATAAGGAGTTAAACCGAGATTAAAGTTAATCTCCTATTATTACGTTTATGCGAGCGTTACTTCTGTAGTTACGATAATTCCTCCGCGTAAACGGGGTTTTGTGGTAACTTACGATAATTCACTCCGCGTAAACGAGTAAATTATCGTAAGTTCCTACAGAAGTAACGCTCGCATAAACGTAGTAATTGTGATAGAAATGGACATGAGAGAATTTTTGGTCGTTTTTCTATTCATTGCACGCTTCATTGCGCGGTCGCGGACATATCGCGCCGTGTAGGTCGGCGACGTAAGGAATGTGATATCGCTTGTGTCGCAACGTGAAAGGCATCGGCCTTTAACGCATCCGAGAGGTCGACGAGTGCTCTGCTCGCTCGTTTCAAGGAGGCCACTGGACTTTACGCTTTTTTTTTTGCGAGGAAGAAAATCTTTTTTTTTTTTTTTTTCCAAAACGCCGTTTTTCATGAAACTGTACGTGACTCGCGACGATCGGGCGACCCAGATGAGAAACTCAGACCGTGAAGAGATCGCTCTCGGACTTTGATGTCGATCTGTCTCTCGTTATCTATTGCAAATAAAATTTATAAGCAGTATTATAAGCTGCGTAAAGCGGGGAGCACACACTTCTGCACAACGCATAATGCGTAAGCATAAAAAAATTGATTGGTCCATATACATGTGCATAAGGAAATAGACCAATCAGTTTTCTTATGCTTAAAGTATTATGCGTTATGCAAAAATCTGTGTTCCCCGCTTTAAGGTCAAATCCAGACAAACTTGCATAGGTGCATAAGCATATGCATAAAGAAACGGATTGATCTATTTCCTTATCCACATGTACATGGACCAATCAATTTTCTTATGCTTATGTTTATGCGCTATCGTCGTGGCGTCGTCGCTGAAACGCTCGCCAGCAACATTATAACGTCAGCCTCAGTGAAACAGGATTCTTCGCTCGTTCGTACTGCCTGCGTTAATTCGATACGAATAGCCTACGTTCGCCTACGCTCTACATTTTACCAGCAACGTATGCGTCTAGACATCGCGCGGAGATAAGTAGAGACCCCCGCGTACGCGCGCGCGGGGAGAGAAACTTCCGCGTCCTCAGGAAGTCTCGGGGCAAAAGTGAAAAATTATGCAATTAAATCAGCGCGGGTGCGCGCGCGCACGCGTGCGAGGAGAGAACGGTTGCAACGGTCGCGCGTTCTCGCAAATTGGCCGGGCGGCGCGGCGTCAGCCGGTTTCCGAAAAACGTTGGAGCCAGGCGGGGTCGTTTCCTTCCGCGGCACCCGGTACTTATCGCCGGAGCGCGCGCGGCGCGCCGCGATTGGTCGCCGCGCCGCCGCCGCCACCGACCGGCTCGGCCCACGTGACCGCGTTCGGGCGCCGCGCGCGCTCTCAGAGCGGGAGAAGAGTTGCACCGTTGCGCGTCGCGTCGCGTCCCCGGTCCCCGCGTGTAGGAGGGGGGAAAGACGCGCCGCGCCCCGCGCCCCCCGTCAGTTGCACTTGTGGTTCGGGGCCCCATTGTCCCCGCGACTCCGGAGACCGGCTCGAAGGCCGATCGCGCACGCTCGTTAGCACGATCCGTTAATTTTGCGTCTATCGAATCGCTGTCGCGTTTCTCGGCGTCTCGAGTCCGTGTGTATTCGCCGCGTAGTCTCGCGACTTTTTTTTTCATCGGTGGTTTTCCTCGCTGTGAAGGTGTTCGACGAGTCTCGCAGACATGGTCGCCGGCGGCAAGATGGTAAGCCGGCCGTTACTGGCGCGAGACTAGTTTGAATTTCATTCTCTATATCGCGATGGATATGTCAGAATTGCAACGCAGGCTTCCCTTCGGAGAAATAATTTGCGATTCGCTTAGATTTCATACTTGTATACAGAAAGTCTTCTAAATACAATGCAGTTGAATTAGAATATTTTTATTTAAACAATGGAAATTTTTTAGGAAAAGACATAAAGGAGCACAAATTGACGTAGGAAGTAAAAATATGACATGAATTAATTTTTTTTCTGGAGCGACACAAGAAGCCTCGTAATAACGCGACGGTTGAGTCCTCGTTTCTACCGGGTGACGCGTTTCGCTCGCACCACCTGACGGCGTCCGTTTTGTTTGCATGTGCTGCGCCGCGAAGATGAACGTGAGGGTGACGACGATGGACGCGGAGCTGGAGTTTGCGATCCAGCAGACAACTACGGGGAAGCAGCTGTTCGACCAGGTCGTCAAGACGATCGGGCTGCGCGAGGTGTGGTTCTTCGGTCTCCAGTACACCGACAACAAGGGCGACCTTACCTGGATCAAGCTCTACAAGAAGGTAGGATATACTTACGTATTCGTCCCGTAACGCTTCCTGCTTCCTCGACCGCCCTCCAACCGGATTTCATCTTCCCGTCTCGTAGCTCATCCGACGTCTAGCTGGAGACTCCAAGAAGCGAGCTTCTTTGGACTTGTATCGAGGTTGATAACGTACGTTTAAATATACAATTAAAATTAGTAGATATTAAATTACTTTTAGATCAACATGAAAAATGATATACTACTGTAATTTTATGGCAATGTTAACGAATGGCATTTTAAACAATTACGTTTTGCCTCAGATGCAAATTCGTAGGAGCGATAATTTGCGTAACAAGGATCACCGGTCTATCGTACGAATCATTTTTAGAAGCTAAGATGAGGATTGAAATCGGTCGAGAAGCTCGCGTTCGTTGGCGGTCCCGGCTGCGAGCAAAATTCCACCGTGATCAATTTTCGGTGTTGATAGCAGTGAAAACTGAGCCCCGTGGTAACGGCTGTGCCATCATAGTCGCGTGACACGCGAGATCCACCCGCGCGTATCGACGCGTACATTGTCGGGAATGAAAGAAAATGGAGATGCTCCAAATTGTCAAGTCGGGTGACACCTGACCGCTCGTAGAATAGCGTCCGCTTTGTAAAATTGTAGTCCTGCATTGTGGAAATATCCCAAGGTATACAATAGAAAAAAAGAATAGTCTTTATTTGAAAATATTCTGAATGTGAAAATCCTGAAATGAGATTATATTGCATTAAAGTTAAAAGAAAACTTGCTTGAAGTCATTTATATAGTTCAACCAAGAAAAAAAGTTGAAATTTTTATAAGATAATAGATTGTCGCGTACATATGAAACGCTTTAATTTGAGTATATAAGTTTTGATTTAACACTTTTTTTCTGTGTATAAGATTAAAAATATAGACTATGGCTGCATTCCGATATTCCCTGTCAGTACTAAAAATCTATATTTTTGTATATCGTACGTCACATATACATAGACTATAAATTTTCAGTACTGACAGTTGCTGACAGTAAATCGGAATATCGGAATGCAGCCATAGTTGGAATCGCATTAGAGCAGAAAACGTAATACGTAAACGAATAATTATTCGCTTGCATATATGTACATTGCGTTTAAGCTAATAATCTTTCACATTTTCCATTCCTTTCCCAACTTATAATCACGTTGACAATTAATGACAGTTTGAGAAAGAAAGACTGTTCAACTGTGAAAAAAGTACACGGAAAGGAACAAGCATGTATCTGAAAGTTCCACGAAACAAGAAAGTATACTTTGAAAATAAATATTGTTCGTAGAAACTCGTTTGTAACGCGTTTTCAAGATTGCCATTATTTTGATTTTAAGACTCAATCGCCAAAAATTATTCTCGATCGAGTTAACTTCTCTTTTGTATATGCAATTATAGTCGAATTCGGTTTAGGCATATTAGACTATCGATCTCGCGCGTGTAATTTGCGTTTTTTCGCGATCGACCGTGCATCAGATTTACGCTTACGCGCACATAAAGTGTATGGAATTAATGCGTGAAGTACCAAGTAATTGCCGACTTCCTAAGGAATTGCACGCAGTCAGGTATCCCGTCGATGTTGTGTGCAAGGATCCTAAATAGCGGCCGTTCGTGAAGTACATTGCGCCGATTCGCACGAAACCTGTTCTTAGACGCGGTTGGGACGTGGCAGTCGAGACTTTCTAGGATTATATTCCCTTAACATCTTTTAATTACGTACGTCGTCACGTTGCATTTCACTGGGGAGGTCGTTAACGTCTTCCGGGATGGTGAATGCCTACGTTAATCCGCTCGTTTGATTCAACACCTCTCTTAGATTTTCAATTCACTTCTCTTTCTTTATTTATCATATTCTTTCTTTATCCGTGTTTTTAACTTGTTTCCAGTTTCTCTCCAACTTGTATACCTTCTCCGATGGAAGTTTCGTTCAATCGGCATGACATCGTGCACGAATCAGCGGCGGCGAGATTTTTTGCCTCGCCATTCGCGTAGCGGCGATAAAAGAGTTCTTTTTCTTAGATCTTCGTCGGTGACAAATGCTGATGTCATCGTTTTTCAAGTGCGAGACACGTGTTCGACGTTTTTGCGCTTCTTTTCCTGATCACGACCAGGAGCGCGATTTTTCTGACTTGGTCTTCAAAGACGTCAGAGAAGTTCGCAAACTTTCCTCATTTCTGTCAGAAATCGCCGATTGAAAAATCGCGCGATGCTTCCGCGAAAATTTACTTTTAAAATCTTTTTTTCTCTTTTACGTTATTATTTTTTCCAAACCTCTAAATATTTGTAGACAGATAAATTCCAGATGGGTTTTCTTTCTGCATATTCGGAAGACGAATTATTGAATTTATTTTCTTCATGTATCTGAAATATCTTCTGTATTTCTTTTTACTACAGGTTTATTAAAGTTAATTTTATATTAAATAATTTATATTAAATCTAATAATAAATCTATATTAGATTACATGATGTATGTTAGATCTATATTAAATCTAAAAATTTATAATAAATTTGTATAACTTAAACATTATTAAGATTATTTGATAAATGTTGAATTTAGGCGATTTTTAAAGATCGCATTCTGTTAAAAGATATATGAATTGGCTCTCATATCGCTCGAAGGATTAACATCCGGCGTTCGGCGAGCGACTGTGCATGTCCGGTTTTGCTACCTGTTCGCGATCAGTCGACTCCAATTTTTCGAGTTCATGTACAGTTACTCGTAGATCAAGCCAGACTCTTCATCGGCTTTCACCGACCGGTTAATGCCGGAGACGACGCTCCTTCACCTTGACACAGTCGCCACTGGTCGCTCGTCTCGTCGGTTGTCTTTTTTTTTTTCAGTGGTTATCTCGTCGACAAAAACCACATCCAGATTTCTCGTCGTTCTGCCTCGAGTCGGGCGCGATTCTCGCGCGACTAGACTTTCGAACCTATGCTTCCGAACAGGAAAACGGGGAAAAACCGACGCGACAGGTGCTCGCCAGGTGAAAATTGCGGTGGCTGGAATACAGGCACGTGCTTGTGGTACCAGGCCACTGCAAAACAGCTGGCGTGGCAATGCCTGTTCTCACGTAGCAGTCTCGTTTTAGCAGTCGCGTCTATCACGTAGAATTATTCTACGGTTCGTCTTCATTTAAATGTCACGTATAACGTGATATTTAAAGTAAATTGACCCTAGTCTCGATTAATTATGCGATAAAATTATCCCACGAGGTCCTTTAAGTGACGTAAGCATTTTCAGAATACATTTTTAATAATGTTTACATTTCTGTCTTCATAAATATACAACAGTAGTTTCGCCCCTGCTATAGATAGTAAATTCAGATTTCTATTTCTTGCGGCGAATCACGTAGAAATAAATCAAGCAAGTCAAAGTTGCTCCATTCTTTATTTTTATATTGAAATAAGTATAGAGAAACGAAAGCATCTTGAGTCGTTTTTCCGCGGAATTTGTCGCGTTTGTGAATCACGATAGCTATTTACGCAACATCGTTGTTCGTACGTTGAACCTTAACGTGTACTTAGATATGCGTCGACGGTAGCACACTTCCATGCAATAAATAAAACATCAGAGCTAGATTCCAACGTAGGTGAATAGCTGCTGGGGAACAAAGATGGGAAAGAATATATGGGTTAATGTGTTAACACGAGGGAGATATATCCACAACCGTTTAATGTGATTTGTACTTGAAGCGAGAAAGCGGAACTTCGTTAATTTCGCTTTATAAGTTTTGGATATGTACAGAAGATCTTTCTCAGATATTTAAGAATTTACATTTAAATGTAATTAAAATCTTTGTAAACACAATCACGTCCTCGAGTCTGTTTATGCCGCAACCATTAAGAGATCTTTTTTTTCATTATTTTTTTTACACGCACTGAGAAGCTTCTCACTTTCTGAGAATTTATTTCAACGTTAAAAATACTCGCGAGTCATATACGTCACAAGTAGCGGGATCAAGGTGTTTCATATTTACAGAGACTCGCCGCAGATTCGTTTTTGATAATTTCGATAATCTGATTTCCGAAAGACATTAATTTAGCATCACCGCTGATTAGATAATGCAATTATGTTATCTGTTATTACAGATAGCAGCGACTATTGTGTAGTAATACATCAATTAATCCGTGACTCATTTTTTCGACGTAGTTTATATATGTATCGTTGCATAGTATGTAGTTTGCTCGTTTATTCCACTCGCATCCCCGCATAATAAGCCAGCTGGCGTCAAGCGCACGTTTTTATTAAATTTTCCCTTAATGACGAAACAATTGCACGCAGCCGGAAAGTGCGATAGCGAGGGTGGTGAAGAAGGAGGTGAAAAAGAAAGTTCGAAAGCTGCGAGGTTATACGGACTCGGATACGGACGACGATGAGTTCGACGACGGCCTGGTAAGATCCCGAAAGGGTCAGGATCCTTTCGTTCTCTAGACTTGCCCTAACGCGAGCAATTGCGGACATAATTGAGGGATAACGACCACAGGTAATGGTCGGTCAGTCAGTATATAGGGGAAACATTTTTGTATATGACAATACAAAAATGTATTAAGACAATAGTGAAAGAAATCTTAAGGCCGGTTTACACACGCAATGATTAGTGGCGCCAACTGACTGGCATTCATTGGCGCCAGAACCAACTGGCAAACTCACAAGTGTTTACACAGTGATTGGCGTATAATATGGAAAATATTTAACATTTATTAAACACACAGTAAATGACAGCAAGCATATAACCTTAAATTTTGAGGTTATATGCTTTGGTCAATAACCGCCAGTAAACGCCACATTACTAGCGCCAGTTTGCATCAAGTGTTTACACTTGCATTTTTACTGGCGTTAGTCGACTGGCGCTGCCTGGCGCCACCAATCATTGCGTGTGTAAACCGGCCTTTAGGATAATCAAAATTTCAAAAAGACAATAATAAAAAATAATAAAAATTAATAATTAAATAAAAATAAGCTAATAATAATAAATAAAAAATAAAGAATT